GGGATGGTGGAATAGAGCTTCTTGAATCCTTTTAAAACATAGAATGGTTTGGGTTGGAAGGGACCTTAAAGCTCATCCAGTTCCAAGCCCCTGTGTCCAACCTGGCCTTGAACACTGCCAGGGATGGGGCAGCCACAACTTCTCTGGGCACCCTGTGCCAGGGCCTCAGCACCCTCACAGGGAAGAATTTCTTCCTAATGGCTCATCTCGATCTCCCCTCTGTCAGGTTAAAGCCATTCCCCCTTGTCCTGTCCCTACAGGCCCTTGTCAAAAGCTCCTCTCCAGCTTTCTGTTTGCCCTTTAGGCACTGGAAGCTGCTCTAAGGTCTCTTCTTAAGGAGCCTTCTCTCCTCCAGGCTGAACAAGCCCAGCTCTCTCACGCTGTCCTATGATGTTTCTGTGATTTTCCAGCAGTTTGGGTTTTTTCCCTTCTTATGTCCTAACACTGCATTTCCTGATCTGTTACCACCTGTGGTTTTTGCAGATCTCTGCCTGGGAGGCTGAGGGAGGCTTTGGAAAAGGAGGAACGTGACCTGAAATGGCAGGTACACAGAACTGTAGATATATTGAGGAAGCAAGATGGAAGGCTCAGCATGGCTTCTGTGTGTGTGTGTGAGATGCAGTTTTGCTCTGGTCAGAAGTCTGGGCAGTGCCAGCTGAGGGCAAGTGATGGGAGGTGATCACAACAGGATCTGGAGCTGGATCAGAGGCAGGAGGTAGAAGTGTTCTGGAGAGAGGTGCGAGGGCTCTGAGTCAAACAACAAGATGGATTTGGGAGCCTGAGCTGTCAGGGGTTGGGTGGAAAGAGCTTAGGAAGAAAGAGCAGACCAGGTTTACCTTTATTTGTGTGTTAACCTGGCTTTTGGGAAGTGGTGGTGAAACAGGCAGTGAAAGAAATGGAGTTGTAGATGTGGTGAATGGTTGAAATAGAGTAGTGAAGGTTGCAGAAGTATGGATGATATCCAGGTTTCAGGTTAAGCTCAGTGCTGAAGTGAATTCCAGATCAGCTTAAGAAGTGCTTAAGTGTGGCCACCACATTTTCCACACCTACAGAGTAGTCTGAAGTTCCTGGGATACTTTTCAAATCCAAGAGCTGTGGAGTAAATACTCAGAACAAATTATAAGCAGCAGGTTTTTGGTTTATTTTGGAAACCTCTTGTAGTCTCACTGGTCCCATTGCAGGTTTAGTCAATACAGCCTGTGATACCACCTCTCTGATGTCCCTGCGCACTGTGTGAAGGTCTCTGACCTTCTCATACCAAAGTAGCTGTTGTAAGGGCACTGTGTACTGAGGTGCTGGTTTCAAACAGCTCCATGCACACAAACAGCATTCCTGATGCCCTGCCAAGCTCCCTGCTTCGGTGGCATCGTTCTTCCTTCTGTGACTAATGCAGGTTGTCAGGGATGCAGCGTCTTCCTGGGCATCCCCCTGTAAAAGGCTTTAGAAACTCCATTTCCTCTGGCATAGGCTTGTGAGGGTTTTAAATAAGATGACACATCTCTGTCCCAGATGGATCAATATTTGAGTTGCTTTTGGGTCTGCCTGTCGCAGAAGAACAGGTAGATAAATGGCATGAATTTCTAAGGAATATTCACAATGCCAGCTGCCAAGGATGTCACTTCTGAGCGCAGCATCTGCTTGGGTGCGATGCCTCCCTTGGAGACCTCTGAGTGTGGGATGTGTGCGTATGCTGATGGGAGCCCCTGGTTATGAGGTGTGTGTTTCAAGTGAATGAGTGGCACCTTCAGGGCATTGCAGCGCAGGTGGAGATGGGAATTGCTTCCAGTGGGGAGCCTCAGCTGGAGTCTGTGAATTATAAAATCCTCATGGGGAAGAAAACCCCTCAATGCCTGCTAGAGCTGTGCCTGCTTCCACTGATAATACACAAGGATAATATGCAAGGTATTAGGTGTTATCTGAAGGTGTATGGGGGGGGGGGGGCGGGGGAAGTCATAGAATTAAAATCCCAGACTGGTTTGGGTTGGAAGGGACCTTAAAGCTCATCCAGTTCCAACCCCCTGCCATGGGCAGGGACACCTTCCACTGGAGCAGGTTGCTCCAAGCCCTTGTGTCCAACCTGGCCTTGAACACTGCCAGGGATGGGGCAGCCACAGCTTCTCTGGGCACCCTGTGGCAGGGCCTCAGCACCCTCACAGGGAAGAATTTCTTCCTAATGTCTCATCTCAATCTCCCCTCTGTCAGGTTAAAGCCATTCCCCCTTGTCCTGTCCCTACAGGCCCTTGTCAAAAGCCCCTCTTTCCAGATTCCTCGTAGCCCTTTCAGGCATGGAGCTGCTCTAAGGTTCCCCTGGAGCCTTCTCCTCTTCAAACTGAACCAGCCTGGCTCCAGAGCAGAGGTGCTCCAGACCTCAGAGCATCTTCATGACCTTCTCTAGACTTGCTCAAGCAGGTCCACATCTCTGTCTGGAATAGCTGTAATACAGTCCTTAAAGAAGTCTGTGATGGTGGGCTGTAGTGCTGCAATCCATTTAGAAGTCTTCAGAAGTGATGTGTGGTGGTTTCTGTTTTTTTCAGTATCACTATAATACTCTGTTGGTGAGGATACTTTGGGTTGTTTCTTATCACTTGATCTATTCTCTATTGAGAAGGTTTCCTGGGCTTGGAGATGGGAAGCACAGGCTTGACCAGAGCTTGCTTAGCTCATTGGGAACCCCCATGTCAAGTTCATTGTGACTGTGTGTATGTGAGGTGCTGGGAACAGGGGAGAGGTGGGTGGCAGGGACATGTGGGATTTGCTTTCCTGGTCATCCTTGGTAGGCTGCTACTTCATGAAGCTTGGATTGCAAGTGTATGTATTTGTATGGATGCCTACACCTTAGAAGCTGCTTGACAGCCTGATTTCCCATAGTCCTCTGATGTGTTTGTGTGTCAATTAAGCCAATGGCTTTTGGGCTGGAAATTGCCCCAAACACACAACTACATTTATAGCTCCCCGCTTAGGAAATGTAAATTAATTTGAATCTGAAATTTGGGAAGGCTCATCTGCATTTAGCCTGACAGGTGATGTAGTGTTGCTTGGAATTGTCTTTGTAACGAATAAAGCGTGTTTGGAAAGGAGTAGATCACCATCTGGTTTGAGTTTTGAAGTCTGGCAGGCATTCCTAGCAGAAAGTGGATGCTGTCCTTCTGGTTTGATGCCTTGATTATGTCTGTGTAGCAAGGTGAGCTCTGAACTTGTAGTCAGCTTGTGTTGAATAGTTTTCCCCTGACCTTCATCTGCACTGGCAAATGAATACAGGAAGAAAGAAAAACTACTAGGAAAGAACCAATCCTGGAACAGCTGTAGGGGAAGGAGTTTTAAATGATGGATGCCAAAGGCACTGTTCATTTGCAGCTGGGTTTATTGCAAACCTGTTTAACTCAGGAATGCTGTCCCTCCATATCCAGCACTTTGGCAGTTGCAAAGTTTATGATGACCTGGCTGCCTGTATGTCACCTGTCTGTCAAAGACGTGAAGGTGATTTCAAGATTGAGGTTACCTCTCCCAGCTGCTGCCTATGAGTGTAAGAGTGTGGCGCTTTCATTTAGTTACTTGCTTTTAGCAGATTTAAGGCTGTATCTTGCCTGAGCAGGGAAAAATGAGAAATGTTACCTCCTCATCGTATCTCTGCAAGGAGGATGCTCTTCCTTTGGAACAAGCTGCTTGATTCTTTGACTTAATTCTGTAGCCAGTGTGTGGGGCAGGATGTTTGCAGGGCTCCAGTTAGGATGTTAAAGCTGGTCCAGATCCATGGGTTACCTTCTCAGGCACAGGGACTGTTGCAGTGCAGTTGTGGTGTAGATTAAGGGACACCAAGGACATGAGCCTCAGTGTTAAGCAGTTCCCAGGCAAAAGGAGAGAAACCCAACCAGGGAATCTCCCAGCACCTTCTCCACAGCGGCTTTTACCAGGGAGCTGGTCTTGGGCAGCAAGCTGAGCCAGGACTGTTGGGCTGTGCAGCTGTTTCATCAGCCTTTGATAAAGACCTGAATATTTACTTACTGATTTCATATCTCTGTATTCAGCCTAGTTCCTTCCAGTTAGCTGATGCATGTAACAAAGCAGTAGTAGCACTTGTGGCAATGATTTGATCCTGGCTCCCAGCATTTTTTCCTTACTGCTACGCATCAGCTCTGCTCACTTCCCAAAGAGCCCTGGCATGCTGCTCTGTAGGACAGAGGCAGAGGCTTCTTCCTGAAAACAGGTTATTTCTATACTTAGCAGGCTAATTTGTCACACATCATTGGATGTAATGTAAAGGGAACAAAACTCTGCTTATCTTATCTACCTACATGTTAAAACATTAGGGTTTTTTTTGTCTTTTAAGCATAAAACTAAGAGTAAACTACTCGCAGGCTTACCTAGAAGGCTGTAGCTATTAGTAAGTCATTAGTATTCCATTTACTTGTTTTATTCTTTCTAAGCAATCATTTTATCTTACTGGGTCATCAGTTTTGGAGCAATTTCTTGACTCTAAAGCTACTATTCTCTTTCAGGCACATTCATTGCATGTATCTCATATTCTCAAAGATGTAATTGTTAGAGAATCAGACAGTGTCATTTGCTCAGCATTTTTCTTTGCATTATTTTTCTCCTAGCAGTGCAATAATTACTAATTATTACACTACTTGAAGCAGTTATTCAAGGGTTGCTTTCCATTCCGAGCTGGCTGATTTTGCAGCTCATTCATTCAGCTATTGAAATTCCACCAAACCTATGGGAAGTCTCCTGCTTTCACAACCTGCCCATCCTATTATTCCCAGGGTATAAATGACCTTTTCTGTACAGAAAACAAGATACCTCTAAATTGCTAGAAAGGAAATTAGAGAAAATTAGAAACAACTCTGATTTTGTTATCCCCCCCCCGTCTGATTCCTTGTAATTGTTCTTTGCATAGAACATCCCCCTTGATGCTCTGCACTGGGAGTTGATAGCTCCTATAACCCTGCATTTTTTTGCAGTAAGTATTTGAGATGAATGTCACTGAGTATCTGTTTTAGGAGCTGGAGACAATATTCCACACAGATCAGCCCCTCTGGGGTCTTCTGCAGCTGCATGGGTCTTGTGATGGGCTGAGCTGTTCCTCAGGGAGAGGAAAACGAAGGGACAGCCATCAGAACCTCTACCCTTTGATCTCTGTAGTCTTTTCAGGACATTATTCAGGTATATATCCTGGGCTTTATTGTTCTTTATTGCTGCTGAGGCTTTTCTTTGCTTCCCATCTTTTGGTTCCTGCCCGAGCTATTTGCTGAGATCCTGCCCTCCTGTATAGTACCCCTTTTTATTTCCTCATGCCTCCCTCATCACCACTCTGTTGCCTCACCCTTCAAAACCTAGCTTAATCTGTCTCTGCAATGAGCCTCTAAGAAGAAATCTTGGTCATATACATGCTTATAGCTTCTATGTACTAACTGTGTAGTATGGAATAATAATTAATAGAGATGTGTGGGTGGTCAGGATCACCCGTCAGCCAAAAACAAATGTTTCTAGGATCAGTGAGGTTGGAAATGACCTTCAAGATCATCCAGCCCAACCATTCCCCAGCACTGCCAAGGCCACCACTAACCCATGGCACTGAGGGCCTCGTCTACATGGTTTGTGAACACTTCCAGGGATGGTGATTCCACCACTGCCCTGGGCAGCCTGTTTGAAGTACTAGCATGAATGGGTTTGGCTCAGTCTTAGCTATGGCAGTGTTTCACAGGTCAAGAGTTCCTGCTCTGGTGAGTGACCTGTTTGGGCTTGGGCACATGACATGCAAAGTGCAGACAAACTGTAAGCCTCAGTTTTACCGCATAATCTGAAGCTCTGTGGCAGTTTAGTTTTGGCAAATATTGCCTACTCCAAAACCTTGAACCACTCAGCACATGAAGAAAGCACTGCCAAGGCAGCTGGAGATGAGCCCTGGCCATCCCACCCTAAACCTTGTTAAGTGCCTCTAATAGCAAACTGATTAACCATCACAGTTTAGGCATTTGTACTGAACTGCTGACATCCCAGGTGAATGAACAAGTTAATAAGGTTTCCTGATTTATGTATTTGTCTGTGTATTTTAAGTACGAGGCTTTTATCTCCATGGCGTTTGAGTTGCCGCAGAACAGCACTGTTCCTCATCCTGTATTTACAGTCACCTAATTAGTGTAGGAATTTCTTATACACAAGACAACTGATATATCACTTCTATCCTTATTGGCTTTGTAGATCTATTTAGGCAGGCATAGATTTCTACTTGGGGATATAGAGCCAAGCAGGTTGAAAAAGACCTTTAATATGACCGTGTATTTCGGAGGTGACGGTTCTCACTGTAACTGTTCCTGCAGCTCGGAGCTCTGCCAAACAGACTTGAAGTCATCTTACTGATGTACTCTGCCACTGATACCACTAGCATGAAGGTCTTGTCAAAAACAATGAAAACACGCCTGCTTCCTGCACTGTGGTCCATGCAGTATGCTCCACTCAGTATGTTGCTGATGATATGGCAGTATTAATTACATGGAAGCGAGAGCTATCTTTGTTATATGGTCTTATTTTAACTTAAAGGGAAATTCTTCTCAAGCTGAATCTTTACGACCTTAAGTCAGTTGCCTCAACGTTTTAAGCATGAGTTTCTTCACAATTATTATAGTTCTGGAGGAGAGGAAAGAGGAAGCTTTAAAGTTTGGAAGTTGGAGGTGGGGTTTTTTTGGTTCATTGTGGTGTTTTGTTTTAGTTTAGGAAGAAACTTTTATTGGATGAAGCTGCTCAGTTACCCATGAAAAACAGGAAAAGCTGCAGACAATGCTGATCTGCTTTGCAGTAGCATACCCTCTGTGCCCTCGGGGCCCAGTGTAGCTTGTTTGGGATTCCTGGCAGGTCTGTCCTGCCTGGGGTAGACTCAGCTATTTCATATTCACCATTCCTTTAAGATGTGCTCCCTGGATTTCTCAGGCTGAGATAGTTAAAGTGATCCTATGCTGCGTGATACCATATCTATTTGCTAAATCCCATCTAAAACTCTCCTTGTTTACAAGCCACCTTGCTTTCTAGGGCTGCAAACCTAAGATGAGAGTGAAAATTAAGCGGTTCTTAAAATTTCCATTCCTGCTAGCGAAGATTGTGAGCGATTCCCATGTGCCACCTGAAGCAGGAGCATTCAGGTGGGTTTGGAAATGCACGCTTTTGCCTTGTCAGTCTGTCATCATGTCTGGAAGATTGACAGGGCATGGTGATGAATAAACATATGGCATTCTGATGTGGTCTCCTTTGAATGCAAAGCGTGCAAGTAATTCCTGAAATAAAACAGACGTGTGGGAGGGGAAAGATGGGGGGAGTCAAGTCCTGGCTCAGAGGAGTTGATTTCCTTAGGGAAGGAGCCAGGCACTGTGTAAACAGAGGCAAAGTCAGGCAACAAAGGAGAATAATGGACACTCCATCCAGCTCTCTTTCAGGTTTTGTGGCAAAGCTCCAGTTGATGTCCATGGAAGGTGGGTCAGTCCACTTAGACCAGCACTGAACCCTTACGATGCTCTGGTAACGGGTTGGTGCAACATTTTGGCTTATGGAACTAAAAACTTGGTGAAGAGCTTCTCATCAGACAGGGATCAAGGAATCACAGATTTTTCTCTTACCCATTTCCCATTTAATGATGAAGTGGCTGTAGCTGCTTTGCTGTGTTTCAGCTTGGAGTAGTAGTTTACATAAAACATACAGATTAATAGGTGGGTAAGGCTGTAAGAAGAAATCACCCCGTGTCTTAACACAGAGGGCTGCTGAGTAATCCCTTACAGGCGTACAGATAAGACTTGTAAAATAACCCTCTGTGTGTACATTCTGGCTTTCCTATGGAAATCTGTTCTCTTTCAATTTCCCCAGAGTTTGCAGGTGCACCACTGCCATTTTCTGCAGATAAGCCCGCACAGTTGTTCAAGGGGAAATTGATGGTGAAGGTAAATGTCCTATGGTGAGCTTCTCAAAATCTGCTATGTGTGACCTTATCATTGGAGCTGGATTCTAGCTCTGAACCTTCTGCCCAGCCCTTAACTTCTCCGAGGCCCAAGGCTCAATGGCTTTCACAGTTCAAAGATGTAAGGATTTAGCTGGAGCTGGTTTCTGTTGATGCTTTTTCACATGCTCTCTCTGTTGCATAAGGCTGCAACTGACAGGCACGTGTAGTGTGGAAAAAGCCCTGTCCTGCAGTCTGAGTGTTCTCTCCTTCAAAATCAAGAATGGTTTCCTCAAAATGCTTTCTAGAAGCATTAAGGGAAGCTTCTCCTGCTCTCTTTTAGGACCACAACCCTCTTCATTTGCCATTCCATAAACCCTCACCTGTTTGCTTTCTAGGAAATGTGTGCATTATTTTAGGACTTGCCCTTTAATGCTTTCTAGGGCTCTCTCTGTTTCTTCCAGGATTCTCTCCCCGCTTTTTGATTTCTAGGAAGCTTTCACAATCTGTAGGAACCCATTATTTTTGCTTCCCTAGGAATCCTCCCGTTTTGCTTCTCAGCACTCCTTGGTGTGTTCTAAGGACTCCCATGACCTGTTTGTAGGAATTATCCACATTGTCTAGGACTCTGCAAGTTTAAGTCCTAAAAATTCCTCTTGCTTTACAGGAACTTTCCAGGATTTCTGTGATGCAGCTGGTTTGTGTTCTAGTAATCACATCTTCAGCTTTCTACAATTTGCCCCTTAACACTTCCTAGGACTTTTCCACACTCGAAAGGAATTCATTTACTAGGAGTACCAGTCTTTGGCTTTCTAGGAATGGCTCTCCTCTGGTTCCTAAGAAATCTCCATGTCTCCTTTGTGCATTCCTATCTACCTCTTACAAATGTCCCTACCTGCTGCCTGTGAATTTTTCTTCTGCTTTCCAGCAGTTTCCCATTGCTCTCTAGGCCTGCCTACACTATGAAGGAGTTCTTTGTGCTTTTTAGGCTGAGTTCTTCATTGGCTTTGCAGGAATGCCTTATTTGCTTTCTAGTAGTATGCCCTCATCTTTCTATGGATGGTCACTTGGTTTGAGGAAACCTTGATTTGATTCCTGGCATTTCTTCCTTTCTCAAAATTCCCCCATGGCCTTATAGGAAATCCCCCAGTCTAGGGAACCCCTACTTGATTTCTAGGAAGGACCCCTCTTTTAGACAAATTCAGTCTTATTTCTGGGAATTCCTCTCTGCTTTGCGGGAATTCCCTACTGTGCTCTCAAGGAAAGCCCTGCTTGCTCAAGGAATTGTCTCTTTCCGTTCTAGCAGTTCCCCAGTGCTTTCTGGAAGGTCCCTGGGTTCTCTCTAGACTATAAACAGCATCTCTTGGAGCATGGTGTTCTTTTTCCCTTTGCCTTGCTGTGAATTCCCTGCTGCTGTCAAGAATCCATTGCTTGCTTTACTTAGAAATCCCCATCTGTTTTCTAATAATTCCCCTCTTCCTTTCTAAGAATTCCCCATCCGCGTTCCAAAACCTTCTGTGCTCTCTAGAAATTCATTCCTTCTTTACCAAGAGCTCTTCATTTGCTTTCTAGGAATTCCCTGATTATTTCCCAGAGTTTCCTTTCCTGGTGTCTAGTAATTCTCTGTTTGCTTTCAGGAATTTCTTGTCCGCTTCCTAGGAATGACAGATCTACTTCCTGTGAGCGCCTCATTTCCTAAGAATTCCCTGATTTCTGTCTAGGAATGTCCCGTTTGCTTCCTAGGGGTTCCCTTGTGCTTTTAAGGGAAAAAGCTTGCCTTTTGGGAACTGTGCAGTGCTTTCCAGGATTCTCCAGTTTCTTTTGTATGACCTTTCTGCTCAGCTTAGTAGGAATTCCTGTTTTCCTGTTAACTTTTCATGTTTCTAAGAAATCCTCATCAGCTTTCATGGAAACTTTTTCCCTAACTACCTAGGAATTTTCTACATTTCTTAAGAGTTCCCAAATTTGGAATATTCCAAGAAATTCCCCCCCCCCCCCCTTTATTTTTTTTTTTTTTAAGGACTCTTACCTGGGGTTTGTAGAAAGTGGATTCCTGTAGGAATTCTCTGGTGTCTTCTGTATAGTCTTTATACAGAGATGGGGGGGGGGGGGGGAATCCCAAAACCAACCCCCCTGAAACATAACATAGAGTATATAGAATCATAGAATACATAGGGTTGGAAAGGACCTTAAGATAATCCAGTTCTAACCCCCCTGCCATGGGCAGGCACACCTCACACTAAACCATGTCACCCAAGGCTCTGTCCAACCTGGCCTTGAACACTGCCAGGGATGGAGCATTCACACCCTCCCTGGGCAACCCATTCCAGTGCCTCACCACCCTCACAGGAAAGAACTTCCTCCTTATATCCAATCTAAACTTCCCCTGTTTAAGTTTTAACCCATTACCCCTTGTCCTATCACTACAGTCCCTAACAAAGAGTCCCTCCCCAACATCCCTATAGGCCCCCTTCAGATACTGGAAGGCTGCTCTGAGGTCTCCACGCAGCCTTCTCTTCTCCAGGCTGAACAGCCCCAACTTTCTCAGCCTATCATCTTCATATGGGAGGTGCTTCAGTCCCCTGCTCATCCTCATGGCCTCCTCTGGACTTGTTCCAACAGTTCCATGTCCTTTTTATGTTGAGGACACCAGAACTGCACACAGTGCTCCAAGGGAGGTCTCACAAGAGCAGAGTAAAGGGGCAGGATTACCTCTTTCGACCTGCTGGTCACGCTCCTTTTGATGCAGCCCAGGATATGGTTGGCGTTCTGGGCTGCGAGCACACACTGCCGGTGATTCATGTTCAGTTTCTCATACATATATTCATATAAACATATGCTATCCTTATACTGACGATAAGAGATCTGTGCATATCCCATGTACGGCCAGACTTCTAATGCTTTATAATGTATTTGCTCTAAGTTCTGGCCTAGTGGTTCTGGGAATTCACTTATTGCAATCAGGCTCTGCGAGCTCATCTTGTATGCCCTTGTTTTTTGTATACTGGAGCCTCTTTAACTTGAAGCAAATTTGGAAGTCCATAATGAGGGAGCTTGTTTGAAATGTTAATGTTCCAAGGCCATTTGTAATTAAATTGCTTAGGTAAGTCCCAAATACTGTAAGTGCTTGGGTCCTTAAGTGTGCTGCTTATGTCTGTTTGGGGTGTACTAGAAACAAGTAAACCAGTCACTCCAAGTACTTATAGGCTGCATTAATTTAGCTGGGTTTGTGAAATCCAAGCAACTCAGTAAATAAGATTAAATGCCTTGGGGTGGTAACTCTGTCGGAAAGCATAGCATCTTCTAATCTCCTTTTCTGATAGACAATGGTATGCTGTCTTGCTGCAGCATGGGAAATGTGCAGGAGTTGTTCACAAGCTCTGAAAACATAGTGGAAGAAATACAGGACTTTGCATTTAATCTAATACCAAATCCATGGGTTTTCGAAACCTGACCCTCGTAACGCAAAGCCATAACAAGTTTAAATGTTTTCCTCCCTCATTTCTTTGTCTTTTATTGCTGCCGACATTTAACTTGAAATTATGGAATGACAGTCGGAAAGGTCAAGGTGACTTTTTGTTATTCACCTGATGCAGTTTTTGTTGTGTTGACATCATACACTGACCACATTGTCAGCTAAAGATAAGTTTTTCTTCATGCACCATTGTCAGCTAAGCCTTCCCTTATCGTTTTGCTCAGCTATTTGTTTGGTTATAGTTAAATTATTCAGGCTTGGGTTTGTTGAATCTTTTGGGTCACTGCTACCAAAAAAAGATAAGGAAGTTTATTAAGTGTGCACGTACACTGATGGAAGAGGGCGAGGAGTGTGATAAATGGAGAATGTGCAGCTTATCTTTATTCATGAAGCCCTTGAGGGTGATGGAAAAAGGGTACCAGGAATTCACGCAGGCTGGTGACTCATCCAGCCATATTTAACTTTGTTCATCCTGGTTGCCTCAGCTAATGCACACATGAGGCTGTGCCAAGCCTTGTACTTTGCCTACCTTGCATTATTAATGTTCCCAGAAGGGGTTACATTTGTCTACTGCTGGCTGGGGTGAGACTGGCACTGCTGCATCTCTGCTGGGTGCTGCATGTGGAGCTGTGACATTGCAGCTCTATGAATGTTAGTACTGAGCAGGCACAGCTGGGGCAGAGCAGGTTCTAGTGTTTTCCAGTGCTGCCAATGGCGGTGTTCCAGAAATACAGCCCTCCTGAATTCTGGTATATTTAATTAGGGAAATAATGACAAATGCACAGATAAAAAAGCAAATCCAACTGCTGCTATGCATACTGTGGCCTATTTATGTTGGGGAAGAGACAGATGATCCTTAGGAAGTTTAGGCAATGGCCTTTCTATTTAGTTACGAACACACGCCCCCTGCTACGTGATACTTTGGAATAGGTAATGACCTTTGGATATGAGGGTTTCATAGTCAGGTTATGAAAAGGGCCTGCAGGGACAGGACAAGGGGGAATGGCTTTAACCTGACAGAGGGGAGATTGAGATGAGACATTAGGAAGAAATTCTTCCCTGTGAGGGTGCTGAGGCCCTGGCACAGGGTGCCCAGAGAAGCTGTGGCTGCCCCATCCCTGGCAGTGTTCAAGGCTAGGTTGGATGGGGCTTGGAGCAAGCTGCTGTAGTGGAAGGTGTCCCTGCCTATGGCAGGGGGTTGCAACTGGAGGAGCTTTAAGGTCCCTTCCAACCCAAACCAGTCTGGGATTCTATGCATGTAATGCAATAATCCTGTAATAAATTTGTGCAAGTGTCTTATGCTTGATATAATTCCAGTAAAGGCAGATGAAGGAGGCAGTAATATAAATCAGAACAATTCCTTCTAATTTAAGAGGAATTTGAAGCTGCCAAAAACTCTCCAAGAACGCAAACTATGAGCACATACATTCAATAGGTTAATGCAAGACAGAACCCTAGTCTGCATGCCTTTCCCAAAAGAGTTCTGAAGGAAACCAAGAGGGTTACATCCATGTCGGTACAGTACTGCCAACATCAGGCTTTC